CACCGCAGTGGTGAGCAACACTTCCTGGTGCATTGGAAGGGTTACCCCAGCAGCGAAGCTACGTGGGAGCCCGCTGGCAACCTATGTGATGAGACTGGTCGGAATATTAAACCGCTGCAGAACTATCTAGCCTCACAACGACAGCAGCCTTGATCTAACTGGGCTGAGCCATATGCATTTCTTACTCAGATAGTTAATAATATGTCATAGACTGATATAGTTTGCGTCATCTCCTTGTGAGAGTGATGAAGTTGAGTTGTATTACACTTCAATGTGGTTATGCATGTGCATGAGTGATTATTTAATATTCCCCTTTCCACAATTGCATCTCCTAACTGGATTGTGCTATCTAATAGAACATTGGGCTTCCTATGGGGCCGGGAGAGTGTAATAGTTTTACCTTGACACTTCTTGCTTGTCTTATGGTAACACCTTGTGTTCCTACTATTCTCACTCCTGCGGTTCTCGCCTTTCTTTTGCTTTATAACCTCTGGTTTGAACATCATTCGGGGAATTCTCCAATCAATCAAGTCTATAGTGTTACCTAAGTCCTTTGTTTTTGGGTGTCATAGGTCGGAGTGTACACACTTGCAGCAGCATCTTCTGTATTTTAATAATAAATGTTGGCTTGATGGAGTTTTGTTCGTAGCTTGTTCTTGTGCCGTGCCTCGTCTGTAGATCCATAAATCGTGCCAATATTGGGCAGATATTGAGGGGTATGCCAATTTCATGGTTCCCTTCATAATATTTTGCGCGGGCTTTGGAATGCCGATCTACACCCCAAAGAAAACCTTCCCGCGAAATTTGAGCGAAATCTGAGAGATCGACTTGCACAAGTGTTCTAATTTTCTCAGACATGCTCTCTTTTAAAATTTGTGAGTAGGTTTGCTTTGGTGTGTAGATCGGCATTCCAAAGCCCGCGCAAAATCCTTTAAAAGGAACCATGAAATTGGCATACCCCTCAATATTGCCCCAATATTGGCACGATTTATGGGTCTACAAACAAACCACGGCACAGAGTACAAGAACAAGCGACGAACCAAACTCCATCAAGCCAACATTATCTCATCTTAGAAGAGTTCTTGGTGCAGCACCACATACCCTCGCCAGTGTCCCAGAAGACGAGGGCCATCATCCCTTGACGCCACAAATAATCGTGTTGAAAATACTCCAATAACAAGCGCTCATAACACAGCGAGGTACGTCCTCAATTAGCTAACACTATACACCAGCAGATAGTAGAACACCTCTTCTAGCACTGAGGACATGTCCCCCATCATCCTTTTTGGGTTTTCTTGAAATAAACAATGTTGAATTTTTCCACTCGACCATGCTGAAGTACGTCTTAACACAAAGCTCCGTAGGAAAGCTTGCAGCGCTACAACGTTCAACAAATTGTATTGTAGACTCTCGCAAGGAAAATCGGCGGTGATCACTTGTCACTCCAAACGACAAGCTTCTCCTTGCGCCACCAACATTTTTCGGTTCAGCAGGTCATGCAAAAGCGACTGAATTTTTCCGTGTAGTTTTTGGATTTCACTGCAAGTGGAATGACGAAATGTTTGGCTCAACCTCGTCTTTCAAAATCGAAGGGGTGCTGAGTCAACCACGAACAAACTCCAACAGTCATAGTGATGCTATGATCATACCAAGACCAATGCATGACCATCGGTTTTGGATTAGAGGAAAAGGTATCTCCCTTCCTCAGGACAGTGATGAGTGAATAAAAACTGTAATGATGATCCATAGGTTGTGATGGCGATCCCCTTATGCTGCATGTTGTTTAGACTGTTCTCAGTATTGGCAAAAGATCATCGAGCACAGAGCCCAGTCCGGGATTTACCGGCGATGATTTACGAGGCGGAGAGCCCGGTTCGGTTAGTGCAGGCAGTATATGACCGGGCAGGGAGCCCACGGGGGAGTGCCGGCAGGTGTTGAAAGTAGAGAGCCTATTTTGAATTGTAGCTGGGAGCCCTGCCCTATCCGTATGGTCAAGTTCATTGATCAGAGATCGTTCAGTACCTGTGGCCCTGTTACCTCAGCAACTATATTGATTGATTTGATGGCGATAGTCCATTACCAGCATTGTATACCATGACAACTGGATTCAAAAGTCAGCGATGTCTCGGCTCTGTCCTGGTTTAAATCTAGCAAATCCAAGAGTGTGTGTAATCATACATGTCAAAGGCATAGCGCTTTGGCACCCAAACCGACTAGTAGTACCGTTCCTAGTGTTTACCAGACTGTCAAGTCGTGCTTGGTGTTGTCAGCGTGTGATCCGTTCCTGGCACAGATTTAGAGCCACCAAGGCCGCACTTGATATGCTGTGCAGTGAAAGGCATGATTTTCCAGTACCCGCTACAAGTCATCATTAACATGTACATGCATATGCACGGCCACGGGGCGAGAATCTTTGCTGCTTGTCGCAACCTGCTCCTCGCCACGGTCGGCTACAAAGTTCTGCAAGGCATTTTTCGAGCAGTCAATTGTGTGGGGTAGCGAAGCTGACCCAGTAGTCTGATAGTGATACTGCGACCTACCCTCTGGTACCACGTGTACCTATGCGCAGCCTACAGCTAGGCAGTATCATGGCATATCTACTACTGTATCAGGCTCCATTGCTGCTGCTGCTGGTGATGACGGTGAACGGTGGACAGGCTATGGCCACACGAACACCAGTGGTGCAGCACGTCGTTGCTGGTGAACAGATTGATAACGGTCCCTCACAAGGTATGTTGTAGATGCGTCACATTCTTGCCTGTGTTGTCTATGAGAACAAACCAGAGAGGGATTTGCATGGAATGCAATGTAAATTTTAAAGTGGTATGACCCTGCCTGCTGTTGCCTTTCTTTAATTATACTGTGATACCGCGATCTCCTGTGAAAATGTACGTAGTATCGGAGGCATACTACACATAACTGTCGAACCACGAGCATCCCACTCAACGGGCATCGTATTATTATAGAGCGACAGAGTCAAAGTGTCAAGCAGCTCAAAATAATGTTTAGCAACAATGCTTTCCGTGACGCAAACATTAAATATGTATGTACATGTAAATCATACTCCTACAAGTACAATGTCATGTCCTGGGTACATGTATCACGTATCACTTCACGTCACAGCAGTTTGTAGTGGAAGTAAAGTCTACCTGATAACATCATACATGTACCGGTATGTACCCAAGCGTACGTCACCTCTGTACAGTATTGCAGTCATGCTTTGCTCAGTGCTCTGGCTTAGAGCTGGCCTGTTGACAGCCATATGACAGGCACTTGTCAATATTACCGGACAGGCAGTACGTACAAGAAATACGCACATATACAATCAAATGCGTTGATCACGGAGCTGCAGAGAGTGCTCAATGTCAGAGACAGAGCTTGTCTGATGATTGCCTAACGGCATGAAACTCAGAGTAGTAACCAGTTACCTGAATGTCCTCCGCTGAGTCTGCTACGTACATGTACAATCATGTACAGCTCAGACTGGTACAGTGATGCTCAATGAAATCCAGAGCGTCCCTCACGTTTGCGCCTTGCAACCTTTCCCAGCCCAGTGTTTGCAGGCGTATGTCTGCACAACTCCCACTGCGTATAGATGTACTTGAGTGTCGAGTTAGGATTTCACTGAGCAGCGCTGCCCCTGCACCAAATAGACAGCAATCGTGGAGCATACCATGTTCCTTCTAGTTGTGAGCATACCATTTTCCTGCTAGTTGTGAACATACCATGTTCCTACTAGTTGTTAGCATACCATGTTCCTGCTAGTTGTGCTGTCGACGTAGGAAGAGTGGCTACACCACTCAATCACCGAATCGCTTCTTTGGAGAGTGAACAGAGCATTACTCCCATGTGATATCAACATAATAATAGCCTTCCTCCAGTGCCATGTCTCATTTCCCCTGTTGAGATCATGTAACATATGTTTGAGAAGTTCACGAGGTCTTTTCCGTGAGCTATGTGTTCGGAATCCAGAGCCTGCTGAGCTGGTTATGAGTTCCCTTCGGGAACGGACACGATAATTTACTCTCTTAAAACTTTACTCATTCTTATTGTAGATACTGAATATGAATTCTGTATGAATGGAGTTGTATTCTTTACCCTTCAAAATTAATGCTTATTGATTTTTGGAGTGAACAACTCTTCAGCGCCTTCTGGATGCAGCCAGGTAAAACAGCTTACATGGTTAGAGCATTGAAAACTGTAATGATGATCCACAGGTTGTGATAGCGACGCCCTCATGCTGCATGTTGTTGACACTGTTCTCAGTATCGGCATAAAATCATCGAGGACAGAGCCCAGTCCGGTATTTACCGGCGATGATTCACGGGGCAGAGAGCCCAGTTCGGTTAGTTCAGGCAGAATATGACCGGGCAGGGAACCCACGGGGGAGTGCCGGCAGGTGTGGAAAACTCAGAGAGCCCAGTTTGGATTGTAGATCAATGGGAGCCCTGCCGTATCCGTATTGGCAAGTTCATTGATCAGAGATCGCAGTCCGTTCAGAACCTGTGACCGTGTTACCTTAATGACTGTAGTGATTGATTTGATGACGATAGTCCATTATCAGCATTGTATACCATGACAACTGGATTCAAAAGTCAGCGATGTCTTGGCTCTGTCCTGGTTTAAATCTAGCAAATCCAAGAGTGTATGTCATGTACGCATGATTAATTATACATGTCAAAGGCATAGCGCTTTGTCACCCAAACCGACTACCGTTCCTACACCTAGTGTGTACCAGACTGTCAAGTCGTGCTTGGTGTTGTCAGCGTGCGATCCGTTCCTGGCTCGGATTTAAAGCCGCCAAGGCCGCACTGGATATGCTGTGCAGGGAAAGGCATGATTTTACAGTACCCGATTCAAGTCATCATGAACATGCATATGCACGGCCACGGGGCGAGAATCTCTGCTGCTTGTCGCAACCTGCTCCTAGCCACGGTCGGCTACAAAGTCCTGCAAGGCATTATTCGAGCAGTCAATTGTGTGGGGTCGCAGAGCTGACCCAGTAGTCTGATAGTGATACTGCGAACTAACCTGAGGTATAATCTGGTGAAGCTATGCGCAGCCTACAGCTAGGCAGTATCATGGCATACCTACTACTGTATCTAGCTCCATTGCTGCTGCTGCTGGTGATGATGGTGAACTGTGGACAGGCTATGGCCACACCAACACCAGTGGTGCAGCACGTCGTTGCTGGTGAACGGATTGATAACGGTCAATCACAAGGTATGTTGAAGACGCGTCACATTCTTGCCTGTGTTGTCTATGAGAACAAACAAGAGAAGGATTTTCATGGAATGCAATGTAGAACTCAAATAGATATGACCCTGCCTGCTGGCTCCTTTCTTTAAACTCTGATAACGCGTTCTCCGGTGCAAATGTACGTAGTATCGGAGGCATACTACACATACGTTACTGTAGAACCACGAGAATCCCACTCAACGGGCATCGTATTATTAAAGAGTGACAGAGTCAAAGTGTAAAGCAGCTCAAAATAAGGTTTAGCAACAAGGCTTTCCGTGACGCAAACATTAAAATATGTATGTATATGTAAATCTTACTCCTACAAGCACAATGTCATGTACATGTATCACGTATCACTTCATGTCGCAGCAGTTTGTAGTGGAAGTAAAGTCTGCCTGATAACATCATACATATACCGGTATGTACCCAAGCGGACGTGACCTCTGTACAGTATAGACCGATCCCCTTATTATTGTCTGGGTTCGAGCAAGGGGGCAACTCCGCAGTCGCGTGGGATCCTGCTGCACACACGCGACCAACCTCACCTCGGCTTTGCGTGACTTCTCGCATGCGAAGTGCAGAGCACGCGAAATCTACACGCAGTGCAAGCCTGTCTACAAAAAATGCCACAAGGACTTTTGATTTGAGCTGTTTTGTTTTTGTTTAGACGTCTTCCTTTTTACGACTTCAGGATGCCTTCTCAGAATCATTGCTGCGTTCCTCACTGTCAGAACAGGAGGACGAAGCAAACAAGTCATTTCACTCCTTTCCTCGTGTCGAGCCACAGCGGCCTGGAGCAAGCGGATCCAGGCTATTCCCCGTGAGGAAGTACGTAGTTTTAGGGTCACTCTGAATATTTGAGTTGCAGCGATCATTTCGATCCCGAAGTCAAAATCGTTTTGCCCAGCTCTACAAGGGCAGGATGAGTCCAGGAAAACAAACAGCTGTCCTACGGTACCAGGTTTGCTTTTCGCAAGAGAGTGGAGTCTGGACGCTCTGCTCCCCATGCTCGCAAAACAGTATTTGCTGAGCCTAGTGCAGTTCGGTCATGGAAGTGCAGCGTCTGCATCACGAGCTCACCATGCTCGCAAACCAGTATTTTGCTGAGAGGCAACGGCATTTTGAGTTGGAAAGGAACCTGGCTTAGTGCAGTTTGGTCCTGTAATGGAAGTGCAGCATCTGCATCAGGAGTTGGCAGCAAGTAGAGCTCGTGTACAGAGTCTCGCGGAGCAGTTGGACGATGGGGTGAAGAAAGCCGAAAAACAGCTTACGTACAATAACATAAAGAAAGACTCTGAGCCGCCCCAGTTTCTGACTGGTTTGCCTTCAGGTGTTTGGACCGCTCTGTGGGACTTCTTTGAGCCTAGCCGAGAAAATGTACTGCGCCGAGCCAGATCTGCGAAGACGGAAGCTGAGGGACGGCGGATACAGTTGAAGGTGGCCGTAAATCGCCAATGAGCATGTAATGGAGGATCAGCTGCTATTGGCATTGATGTGTCTAAGCCTGGGCCGAATGGAACAGAAGCTGCCATGCGTGGCACAAGTTAATCATCCGTTTCACGGTATATACTATATAGCTAGCTGAGCTGGAAAGATGTCTTGTTCCTCCGTTTGGGCATGATCCCCATTTGGGCGAGCTGGCGAGATGTTCAGTCATTAATGCCATGTACCGCAAGACATTCTGCATTGTGGATGAAACAGTTCTATTTTGCCATGCACTTAGGGTTCTCGCACCGGCACAACAAGACCCAACAGATCCTTGCGCTCTTATTTTCTCCCATGGTAACATTGCTGATCACAACACCCGGTAGCCAGCCGCAGATGCAACCAAATCAACCAGGTTCTCTTACTCTTTTTTTCCAATACTGAAACCTTTGGTATACCAATATTTGCATCGAATGCAGTGATGATTTCAATACTGTCCACTAGTACAACGCATTACCAGACTGGCATATAATCATGATAATATTATCCATTTCGCAATCTCTGTCATTGCTTTCTTAGATCTTCAATCATCAATATCGGACCATAAACCGTCTATTATCTTCTATTATATCATCATTAGTATCCTGCTACTATCCTCCTCTAACGATGAGCTCGAAGAAAGAAACAGCGGTCTAGAGGCGTAAACAATATCTGTCAACGGAAGTGTCCTTGCTGTGCTGGTGTGTTTATGCTTCGTGCATTAGTTCGGCCAAGAGCGCATGGTGGTTGCGGGTTGAGGATGTTAAATATACTAGAAAATAGTTCACTCTGAACATTCAGGGGGGTATATTCATAGGTTCGAAAGAACCGCACACACACTTTGCTGCAGACAGCGGCAAGCTTTGGCCCTCGTGCTTCGAAGAGGGAGCAATCCACTGCGCTACGCTTGCGATTAACAGCAAGCTTCGACTTTTCAAAGGTACGACTCATCATTGGCTCTGGGGTAATGTTCCTGGAACAAATGCCCCATAGCCAACTGAGGGCCAGGGAGCACGCAATCTGCCTTCCTGGGCGAGAAGTGTTCCAGCAGAAGAAGCAGCACGAATACATGCTGACAAAGACCACCATCACCACCAGCCGGCACACAGCACACTGTTCTTCAAACACCATCCACTCCGTCCATGTGTTTGCACTGTCCTCCTCTAGCTCTTCACGCTCAACAAATACCACGCACCGCTCATCGTTTTTTTATGCTTCCTCTGGGTTGGCTAGCCCTTCGACTTGACAAAACAGCGATCACCACTGCACTGCTATCGTCACCTCATAGCAGTCACTTCCACCAGTGGCTTTTCCTGTCTTTGCAAGGTGTCCAAGGATTGCTGCTGTTGTCACTACAGGCAAATCAGAAGTACTTTAGTGGCTGATGTCCAACCAGATCGTTGGAAAATCGATTTTTCCACTTCAGGGCTGCTGATCGCGACTTGGTGACTTGGCAGCACCACGGTTACCTTCATAGAAGATGGCTCTGGAGAGGAAAAGACAGACCAGAAAAAGGTTACTATTATCTTCAGCACCGATCGCAAGGAGAAAGAAATATGGTCTGCTGTAGCCTAGGCACAAAATAAATCTCACAACACGATTCGCGATTCGAATATTTCAACAACAAAAAAACTCACCTCTGGAGTAACTCCTGTTTGTGGCCCGAGATCGTTCCCTCCCGCGCCTTGAAAAAATCCTGCAGCGGCATCACAGTCCATGTCTCTCTCGGAGACTCTGCTCCTACCAGCAGGAAGTTTAGCACCGCTCAAAGCCATCGCAAACTACTTGAACTATTCAGCAGAAGATATTCCAAAACAAACCTGAAACACACTGTCAAAGATGCTGTCACGTTCAAAAACTAGCTCGATCGCGAGTGAGGTTGCCCCCGTGCTCGAACCCAGTATAATAAGGGGATCGGTCTATTGCAGTCATGCTTTGCTCAGTGTACTGGCATAGAGCGGGCCTGTTGACAGCCATATGACAGGCACTTGTCAATATTACCGGACAGGCAGTACGTACAAGAGATACGTACATATACAATCAAATGCGTTGATCACGGAGCTGTAGAGAGTGCTCAATGTCAGAGACAGAGTTTGTCTGATGATTGACTAACGGCATGAAACTCAGAGTAACAACCAGTTACCTGAATGTCCTCTGGTGAGTCTGCTACGTACATGTGCAATCATGTGCAGCTCAGAGATTTACAGTGCTGCTCAATGAAATTCAGAGCGTCACTCACCTTTTCTCCTTGCAACCCTTCCCAGCCCGATGTTTTCAGGCGTAGGTCTGCACAGCTCCCACTTCATGTAGATGCACTTGAATGTCGAGACAGGATTTCATTGCGCAGCGCTGCCCCTGTACCAAATAGACAGCAATCGTGGAGCATACCATGTTCCTGCTAGTTGTGCTGTCAACGTGAGAAGAATGGCTACAGCACTCAATCACCGAATCACCTTTTTGGAGAGTGACCAGGAGGATGGAGCAATACTCCCATGTGATATAAAGATAATGTAATAGCCTACATCCATTACCATGTCTCATTTGCTTTGCTGAGATCATGTATCATATCTTTCAGAAGTTCACGAGGTCTTTTCCGTGAGCGATGTGTCCGGAATCCAGAGTCTGCTCAGCTGGTTGGGTCCGAGGCCCAGGTTGCCCGTATGTGAGAACTCAATTGATGCAGTTCATTCTTATTGTAGATACTGGATATGAATTCTGTATGAATGGTTGTGTATTCTTTACCTTTTAAAATTAATGCTAATTGATTTTTGGAGTGAACTTTTCAGCGCCTTCTTGATTCAGCCTGGTACCATAGCTCAGATGGTTAGAGCATTCCTCATGACAAGCAAAGGTACCGGGTTCGAGTCCTGGTCGGTCTGGCTTATTTTTCTCTTTGCAGGAGGTTCACTTCCCTTACTGATGCTTTGAACTTCAAATGCTGTTTCAATTCTTACCGTAATAACCTCTCGTCATTCTTTGTTGCGTATTTTCACAATATTATTGCATCGTATAAGTTTGTCGGCTGCGAATAGAATGAAATCCAGTTTGCGCCTTGTATGGTTTTGCAGCCCAGTGTTGGCAGGCCCAGGTCCGCACAACGCCCCGTGCGTACTTGAGTGAAGGGTCTGGATTTCATTTACTTGAAGTAGAAGCATTGCACATGCGCAGTAAACATGAAAGTCTGCGAACAGTAAGGGAAAGATAACTTACTCTTTTCATCTCTACTAATATGTCGACCCTCAATAAGGACTCCGAAACTGATGGACTAGTTTTCTGACATTCTTTTCAAATGAATTACAAGGTTGTATTTCTCGCCGGCGAAGCGAAGCGAGAAAGGCGAGAAATGGTTTTTGGTGCCACATTTCCGGTTGCTGATATGGCATCTGGCGGGTTCTTTATCGTCCTTTCTTTTCTGGACTTCTTCAGTCAGTTTTGAGTGTCACCAGGTTTTGAGTCTCCGTCACTACTGCGTCCCAGGTTGGTTCTTTCCGGCTACTTCGATCCAGGAAAATAGATAT